CCGATCTTAGAGGGCACCTCGCCCCCCCCCTCCCCTCTTCTCAGTGGCGCTTGAAAAACTCAGGAGTTTATTCGGGCATAAGCGCTCCTGGGGTACAAGTCACTTCCTCAGATGCCCGAAGGGCCCAGAAGTGAAAAGGGAGGGGACAGAGATGGGGAGCGCAGCCCCGGGGGGGGGGGTTTGCCCTCCCTCTGTTTCCTTTGTTCTCTTGCGTGTGATTTTCTTCTGTCCTGTGCTGCTCGCATTCTGCGCACGTGCCTCAGTTTCCCTGGGCACTGCCCCGGTGGCTGGGGATGGGAGTGTTGGGTGTGACTCTCACTGCCGGGAGGCTGCCCCAGGTGGCAAGGAGGCACCTACACATCCTTTGTGATGAAGTGGGAATTTTACTCTCCTTAGTATTTTGCATGTGGGATCTACTGTCCTTTAGTAACCCCATGCATGTGCCTCAGTTTCCCTGCTCACTCTACCAATGCCTAGATGGGGATGGGAACGTCAGTGTGACAGCCTCCTACAGGTACATAATGGCCAATGCCCTTTGTACCTTGAGCCTAGGGGGGGGGGCAACCAGGTGACACTTTTTTGGCCGGGAAGCTGGACAAAGGAGGAGGCGGGGCTGCCTGCAGGACTGGGCCTGATTGCTGAGTGTGTGTGTGGGGCGGGGGCCTCAGCTGGCTTAGGATACGGGGCAGGCCCTGGTTCTGAGCCCACTTCTCCCCAACATGGATGGTGCTGACGGCTCCTGCTTCCTGTGCTAACACGTCTGTGCTCTGCTGCGAACCAATAGCCCTGCTGCCTGAGGGGCACGTCTGGCTGAGGATGGGGGTGCAGGGCTCAGTGACTCCCCCACACCTCCGTGACACCTGACATGGTCCCTCCTTTTCCATTCACCTGCTAGCGGAGGCAACCGGCGCTTGGACAGGACACGGGGGTGTCCGACAGGCCTGGGCCACAGAGTCCCAGGTGCGGTGCCCTGGGCCCGCTCTGAATGGAGCCCGGCAAAACGTGAGTGTGGGGGGTGTCCCCTTGGGGCTCCTTCTCCCCACGGCAGGGAGTCAACGTGGTTGGGACCCCCGGGGAAGCCTCCCACGCCCCTCCCAGGGGCCAGGCTCCCACCTTGGCAGCGCTGGGGTGACTCTGGGCCGGCTGGGAAAACAGAAGGCAGAGGAGGTGGCTGGGGAAGACGGCGCAAAACAGATCTTCTCAGCACTGAAATCAGGCCCATTCCGCCCCGTCCTGCTTGGGGCCTTCCCAGTCCTGGGCTCCCCCTGCTGAGTCCCAAAAAACCAGAAGACTCACCCGCTCCCTGCCTGTCATTGCCCCTGTTAACGTGCTTTGTCTGCTTCCTGAGCAAACCGATCACCTGGCCTGAGGCCTCCCCTCTGCCTTTGTTCCCCAACCCCTTGGGCCGGCTCGTTGCAGAAGATGGGCTCTGGGCAACCCTAGCCGGGGGCAGCGTGTTGCCCATTTTCTGTGCCCAGGCAACCGCTTTGTGGTCACACCCGTCCTCTGGGAGCTGCCCACAACAATCTCACATCCGGATCCCAGCCCCATGGCACGTGAGTCGCTCCTGGGGAAACTGAGGCACACACCGTGCTAAGAGAATGTGCCCGCTTCATCATACCCCACTAAGACCGGCCCCGGGGGCAGTTTGTGCAGTGGCAGGAACCAGCCCCAGGCTCTGCCGGCATCAGCGCCAGAGCCTACAGGTGATGGAGAGACCTGGGGAAAGGGCCGGGGCCAGGCAGGAGAGTAACACTGCTCAAAGGTCCCTTTCGGGGACCGGCGGACAAGTTGGTCCCAGCTGGGGAGGGTTTCCCAGGGTGTCTGTGAGTCCCAGAGCTGCTGCCGTAGTCAGTGAAGGCCCGTGGCTCCCTTGAGGTGCGTCTACACAGCAACGTTATCTTGAAATAACTACGCGCGCACCTACACAGCAATTCCGTTATTCCGAAATCCTTGCACATTCTGTAAACCTCAATCTAGAAAGAACAACGCTGTTTCGGAATAGGGGCTGTGTCAACAGGGCAACAGCTGTTCTTTCAAAATAAGGGGCCTCCCGCCCTTCCCAGGGTGCCTTGCTGGCCGCTCTATCCACACTCAGCCAAACTCTATTCCTGCCCCTCTTCCCCCCTCCCGGAGCCCTTAAAGCTGCAGCCTCAGTTGAATTTGTTTGTGCCACGCAGGAGGCCCTGGCAGTTCTGATCCAACCCTGCAGCTGCCCCTGCCTCGCTTTTCCCCCCAAAATGAGCCTGTCTGCTGCTCCCTCCCAGCGCTCCAGTGCTGCCAGGGGGCAGTCAGACAGCTCCCAGAAGCCTGCCGGGGGCCAAAAAATACGGGCACCTTCCTGGTCTGGTGTGGAGATCCTGGCCCTTTTTGAGGTTGGGGGTGATGAGACCAATCTCCGGGATCTCCGCACCGGATGGAGGAATGCGGATGTCTATGGGCGGATGGCCGAGAGCCTGGCCAACAAGGGGTACATCCGCACGCGGGCGCAGGTGCGGCTGAAGGTCAAAGAGCTCCGCCAGGCATATGCCCGGGCCAGGGAGGGCAGCTCTCGCTCCGGGGCAGAACCTGACACCTGCCCTTATTTACAAGAGCTGGACTGCATCCTGGGGGATGGGGGACGGGCAGTCTCCTCCCCACCCCCGCCAGTTCTGGACTCTGAGCTCGAGATGCCCGTCGTTGTCCTCACCGGGCAGAGAGATGAGGAGGTGGAGGAGTCTGCTGAGGCCAGCGGGTGGCGGGTCTCCTATGAGTGTCCTGTCGCCTGAGGGCAGGGGCAAGCCGCTCACAGAGCTCCAGAGAGGTGTCCTTCCACATCCTGAAGTTCTGGAGAAATTGCTGGTCTCCCCACCGCTCCATGAAGATCCGGTCCCACCAGTCGGCACTGGTGTCCAGAGGCGGCAGGGCACTGGGTCCAGGGGAGGGCGGGCGGGATCCAGCTGCATGAGGTGCGCCCGCAGAGATCCGAGGAGGGTCTTGCAAAGGAGCTGGGGGTTGGGTTCCTGCTGGGACTGGGTGGTAGAAACTGCTGCGTGAAGTGCAGCACAAGCTGCAATAGCGGAAGACTGGAGGCAACAGCCCAAAATGGCTCCTTGGATTCGGCTCTTTCCCCCGCGTGGGGCTCAGAGAAGCTGCTGCCGGGGCGGGAGGGGGGTTCAAAGGGTCTAAGCAGGATTTGTTCTAGTGGGAGGGGCTGGGCCGAGGGGTAACAACCTAACTGGGCTTCACCCCAGCAGGGCACAGCCAGAGGCTACGTCTACAGTGCAGGAATTTGTCGGCAGAGGCAATGCAAATGAAGCGCTCATTAGCATTTCCCATCATTTGCATAGTCTCTACCGATCCATCCTGTGGACGAGGTTTTTGCAGGAAAAAACCACCGTGTAGATGGGGCAAAAACCCCTTTTGCATAAGATCCTGTATGCCTGCTTTTTTTTTTAGGAATAAGGGTTCTTGCGCAAAAGGATTTTTTGGCGCCACATGGCCCCGTCTACACTTCGGGTTTCTGCGCAAAAAACTCTTCTGCAAAACGCATCGGAAGAAAGTATGCAAATGAGAGGGTGAGAAATGCAAATGAATGCTTCATTTGCATTGCCTCCGCCCACAAATTCCTGCAGTGTAGAAATAGCCAGAGAGTCCCAGCGCGTGAATGCGGGGGCTGGGGCTTGGGAGAGTCAAGAGGTGACAGGAACTCAGGCCCTTTCTGACACTTTCCCCATCGCCCCGACAGGCCAAGAGGACACGTCAAGAATTTTCTCCAGAGCGCCTGTCTGTTAGGGGCCGGGGCCGGGCAATGGCCGGGATGGAGCCCGCTCAGGTAGGGGGTTCAGGGAGCTGCTGGGCAGGGGGAGGGAGGAGACAGGGTGGGATGAAGCTGCTGAGTTTCTGAGCTGAGCAGACCCATGAGCAGCATGTGACTGCGCCCCCATTTCTGACTCAGGCCTCAGCCCCCCCCGGGCAGCTCTGGGAAAATGTCCCAGACTCCCAATGCTGTGACCTGAGCACGGAGCTCGGCTTCCGCCTCAGTCTCTGGCTAGATAGTAGGGAGAAGGCCCTGCCCTCTGTCTGCTGAGGGAGAGGAGGGGGAGGATCTCTCTGCCCATCCCCTGAAGCCTCCTGGCTGCTGGAAACAAGCTGGGGATGGGATTCTACTTCTCCCGCCCTCCCAGAGTTATTTTTCCCCATGATGACTGGGATTGTGGCTGGGGCTGCAGGCAGTGGGTGAGGGACACTTGTTGTTGCAGATGCGGGTGACCTTCGAGGAGGTGGCTGTGTATTTCACCCAGGGGCAGGGGGCGCTGCTGGGCCCCGCTCAGAGAGCCCTCTACAGGGACGTCATGCAGGAGAACTACGAGGCGGTGACCTCGCTGGGTAAGGGCGTCCTGGCCCCTCGGGGATTAGGAGCCGTGGGGTCTGCGTGTCCGACACGGGTCAGGTTCTTCCCTGCTCAGGTGGCCTGGACAGGAATGGGTTCCGTGCGCACAGCTGCCAGGGGAGAGCGACTTGCATCTCCGCACCCTGTGCAGTGAGACCAGGGTGTATTTCAAGGCGGAGGGGCCATGTATTCTCCTGTCTGTGTTGTTTCTCACTTGCACCCAGAATCCCTGTTCCCCTCCGTCCAATGGGGAGGGCTCTGGGCTCTGCAGGTTTAGAAACAGGCAGGGGTGTAACTGCAGAGCTGTGAGTGTCAGCAAGGACCCCAGACTGCCCAGATCCTGGGAACTCCTAGTGAGGGCATCATAATTCCTCTCACCTCCCCACACGTCTGCCTCTCCCCAGGGGGCTCAGTGACCATGTTCCCGTCCTCTTGGGTTGCACATTCCCCAGCAGAGCCCGGGGACAGGTTCCACTCACGGAATGTCCCTTGGGACAGACGCTCTCCCCACCCTCCCTGCACCCTGATCTGCTCTGATTTCACCCCCTGCACAGGGTTTCCCGTTCCCAAACCTGAGCTGATCACCCGGCTGGAAAGAGGGGAAGAGCCCTGGGTGCCCGACCTCCAGGCCGGGAAGGAAAGAGAGACCCTGAGAGGCACCTGTACAGGTGAGGATTGACAGAGCATTTGGCATCCTCCCATGCAGGGCAGGGTGTGGTCAGCAGACATTGCTCACGGTTTTCCACTAGTCCTGGTAGCTGCTGGAGTTTCCTTCCCATGTTTCCTTCCCTGTGAGTGGTTGCGTGAGAAGGGGAGGGAGAACCCAATTGCTTTTTCTGTGCAACTTCAGTGTGTTGGGTTTTCCCTTGGGCTATGTCTAGACTACATTGCTCCGTCGACAGAGCCATGTAAAATAGTTTATTCGGCATAGGCAAAGAAGCAGGGATTTAAATAATTCCCGCTTCATTAAAATAAACATGGCCGCCACGCTGTGCCAACGATCAGCTGATCTGCCACAGCGGGGCAGTCTAGACATGCCACGGTTGACAAGGGAAGCCTTTGTTGACCGCTCTGGTAAACCATTAGTCTAGACATAGCCTTGATGCTGTTCCTCTTTCTCCCCAACTCAGTGACTCCTGCCTGGATTGTCTCTCTCCCAGCAGATGATGAGACTGCGAGTGAGAATGAAGAGGGGAATCAAGAGCAGGAGGTTCCTGGGGAGATGGAACCGCAGGCGACTTTTGTGGGACGAGCTGAAGGGAATGTTTCCCAGTGCTTGGAACAGGGAGAAGCCTGGGGAATTTGGCGCAGGCTGGAGAGGCTGCGGGGAGACCACCGAAGTGAGCCAATAGATGCATCTATTAAATGTGGGGAAGGACAGAAGGATCCCACAGCCCAGCAGCCAAACCCCAAAGAAGAGAAACACCATAAATGGCTCAGTTATGGGAAGGGATTTATTGTGAGCCCAGAGCTTATTAAAGTGCAGACAGTAGGTAGTCGAGAGAAATCACTTCAGTGCGTGGACCTTGGGGAAAGCATCAATAACCGCTCTGGTCTTAATACTAGCGGGAGAAGCCAAATTGGAGAGAATGGTTCTCAGTGCCTTGAGGGAAGGAACAGCTTGAACTGGACGTCAGCCCTGATGACACAAGAAACAAGCCACACAGAAGAAAGACCCCATAAGTGCTTAGATTGTGGGAAATGTTTCAAGAGAAAGTCATCTCTTGTTAATCATCTAGTAGTCCACACAGGTAAGAGACCCCATAACTGCTTGGAATGTGGAAAAAGTTTCCTGAAGAGGTCACTCCTTCTTAGACATCAGGCAACTCACCGTGGAGACAGACCCCATAAGTGCTTAGATTGTGGGAAAAGTTTCAAATGCAAATCAGTTCTTGTTGTACATCTGAAAATCCACACAGGAGAAAGACCCCATAAGTGCTTCGATTGTGGGAAAAGTTACATACAGAGATCAGACCTCGTTAAACATTGGGCCGTCCACACAGGAGAGAGACCCCATAAATGCTTAGAATGTGGGAAAAGTTTTAAAGTCAGGTCAAACCTTCTTTCTCATCAGACAATCCACACTGGAGAGAAACCCCATAAGTGCTTATATTGTGGGAAAGCTTTCTTATGGAAGACCTCTCTTGTTGCACATCAGGCAATCCATACGGGAAAGAGACCCCATAAATGTTTAGACTGTGGAAGAAATTTCATAAGGAGACTCGACCTTGTTTACCATCAGGCAACCCACACAGGAGAGAGACCCCATAAGTGCTTAGATTGTGGGAAAAGTTTTATACGGAGGATTGACCTTGTTTACCATCAAGGAATCCACACAGGAGAGGGATATCACAAATGCGTAGAGTGTGGGAAATGTTTCAAGCCACTATCTGCCCTTGTGTCACATCAGAAAATCCACACAGCCGAGAGACCGCATCAGTGCTTGGAATGTTGAAAAAGTTTCAAACGGAGATTTGAGTTTCTTAATCATGAGGCAATCCACACAGGAGAGAGACCCCATAAATGCTTAGAATGTGGGAAATGTTTCTCAGGGAGGTCAAACCTTCTTTCTTATCAGTCAATTCAGACAGGAGAGAGACCCCATAATTGCTTTGATTGTGGAAAAAGTTTTACACATAGGTCAAGCCTAACTCAACCTCTGGCAATCCATACAGGAGAGAGACCCCATCTGGAGAAAGACCCCACAAGTGCTTAGACTGTGGAAAAAGTTTCAAGCAGGCGGCAGCCCTTTTTACACAACAGGCAGTCCACATGGGAGAAAGACCTCATAAATGCTTGGACTGTGGGAAAAGTTTCAAATGGAAGTCTGGCCTTGTTTCACATCAGAAAATCCACACAGGAGAGAGACCCCATCAGTGCTTAGACTGTGGAGTGGGGTTTGTAAGGAGGTCAGACCTCAATAAACACGAATTAATCCACACAAGAGACAGAAAGGATTAATGTTAAGACGTGGAAAATCTTTCATGTGGAGAACTGACATTTTTAAACAACAGGCAATGAATACATGAGAGACGCATGACAAAAAATTCACATGGAAGTCAGCTCTTGTTTCACATTAGAAAGTCCACACAAGAGAGAGACCCCATCAGTGCTCAGACTGGGAAAAGTTTCATAAAAAGATCAGCAAGCCTTGTCAAACATCATGTAGTCCACAGAGGAGGGAGCCCACAAACGTGCTTCGACTGGATAAAGTTTCATTTAGCGCTCTTCTTCGTCAGGTCATCCACATAGGAGAGAGAACTCATCAATACTTCATCTGCGGGAAATATTTGAACTGGAGCTCAGAGCTTTGTAAACTAGCAGTTCAAAGAGGAGAGAGACCCCATGAGTGTTAGGAATGTGGGAAATGATAAATATAAAGAGATCATTGTACTTCTGTGTTGCAATTGAAATCAATACATTTGAAAATGTATAGAAACATCCATAAATATGTAAAATGGATGGTATTCTATTATTTTTTAACAGACAAATAATTCATAGTTTATAATCATTTGCCAGCCATAAAAGATAGGAATTGTAGTCATCCTTTATTTACTTATACCTTGTTGCTGTCTAACAATATTTTTGGTTAATTCACAAATCAAAAGGAAATATTAAGATTTAGATTATACTTGGGTGTAGTGATGTCATTGTATATACATCTCTCTTTACCGTTTGTGGTGACCTGCCTATGAACTGCTTTAGGGATCATGATGTGAATCCATGTAGTTGAATTCCCTGTGATATGTAGGAAATAGAAGGTTAATTCAAACGCCTGTTGTTCATCCAAAGGATGCCTGGTGTTGAAAGGCTGCAGAAATGTCTACAAAAAAAAGGATCAAGAGTTATACCAGACCTTCTCCAGTTTTATTTTGGGAAGGGGGAGGAGGAGTTGGAGCTGTAAGACTGAGCTCTTCAGTCTCATCTGGACTGTGCAGATATTTGGTCACTGAATTGTCACCTAAGGAGATGGTTCTGAAAACGGAGGGTTGCTGGCAACTCTAAAGCAAGATCTTCACCGTGCAAGTGACCGACCGACTCGGTTCCTGTCTGTACGTACAAGGATCCTGTAACCAATACTCTCTTTTCTCTTTGAAATAAATCTGGGTGGAGTTGATTATAATTGGCTGTAAGAATTCATAACGTGGTGGGTGGATGTGTCTGAGCCTTTGGGTTTGATAAAAATCTTTAGAACTCCATCGCCTGGAACTGGGCTGTCTGGGAGGGAGAACAAGGCTGGGTGGCTTTACAGCAGGAGCAATTAATAGGCAGACTGTGGGCAAGTGGGATTTTCCCCCCTTGGATAGGGTGACCATATTTTCTGAACCAAAAATAGGGACACATTAGCCCCGCTCCCTGACACCTTGGGTCCCCGTGTTCCTGACCCCTTGGGTCCCATCCACCTGCCACAGGAAGTCCCACCCGTGGGGTAGTACTTCTGGGGTCAAGATGGACACATGACCAAAAGCGTGTCTTTTAACCCCCTCTAAGAACTCCCCCGACCGTCCTCTACCAATAGGGATGGGTTTGGCACTATAGGAGCCTCCCTATGAAACTAAACTGCAATTGCATTAACCCAGGCCCCAGAGCTAGGGTCCCATGACACTGTCGCACTAGGGGTCCAACTTTGATTCAAGATGACATTCGGGATCCGAGACCTATTATTTAGCAGTGTTGATGCTGTCCTATTTGACTCAGGGCCTGGGAATCATCCAGAACTATCCCACAATTTCATGGGACAACTTCCTTAGGGGGGGGCCCGGAGCAGCTCCCCATCTGCTGTGGGCAGGAGCTGCTCCAGCCCCATTGCAGTCAAAGTTTGGTCTTGTCCAGAGCTGC